TTATTATTATTAGGTATCATCATTTGTTTGACTACATCGAGAGGGCTGAGAAAGCTTATGAATACCGCGAAACTATAGAGAAGGAAACTGAGAAGCTCAAACACCACCCGAGAAAAAATATATCTAGCAAACAGAGTCGCTCATATGAAAATCGTTTGGGATCTTATCAGCCTTGGAGTATTACTTCAAAGGCACCTGCTAAAAATGTAGAAGCTGGGAAAGAGCTTGCACTGAATGCTAATGGATCAGGATTTCCGAAAGTGGATTTGCAGCAAACACTAGTTTCACAAAAAGAGCAATTACCACTTAACAAACAAAGCGCCGGATACAAAACTTATCTTTCTCCTGTCACAAATRAAATTCCAGATAAAAACGAAAGATGGAATGAAAAAGGTACTTTTACAGGACAATTAGGCGAAGACAGTACTCAAGTAAATTCACAAATACAAACAGCTGGGAATTTTCAGATGAATAATGCAACACCAAGCATGGCTAAAGCAGTCGAAGAAAATACAAGTCCCTATAAACAAGACAGTAATTTTGTACTCAAGATGTTAAATAACGAGGAATTTAAAGATTTRCATTATTTGGACGAACACGTACGGCGAAACAGAGGCGCCCCAGCATCTATAAATAGAAATACCACAAAAAGTAAATCAAGTGTACTTGAAAATGATAGAATGGTTGGAACAATGGGAAGCCGTGACCAACATCTGGAAATTACTAGAGGAGATTCTAAAAATGATTCAAGAGATATGTTTGCACTCAGTACAGACACAGAAAGCAAAGAAAACGCCAATCTATCAAGATATGTGGAGCCCATTGTCATGYCAAGGACATCTTTGATCAATTCAGTTGCTTCTTTATTAAAAAACGCCAAAGTTATAAACACAAACACGACGGGAAATCGAAGGATTTTTAATTCAAACGACAGGAAAGAACAAAAACAACAAAGAAATTTAACGAAGCCCGTTATTCCACCAAATTTTTCATCTAGAAAGAATGATTTTCTTTTAATAAATAAATCAAAGATCGAAAATGGCAATACTATAAAAGATCTATACGATTCTTGGATTAAAAAGAATAGGGAATCGTTAAATTCGCATGTAAACGGACAACAAAGGAAATATATAGCTTCACAAACAAACGCGTTACTTTGGAGACGATTGAATCCTTTAACTGTTGAAAATGTTAATAGGAGTTCGGTGAAGAACAGAACGAATGAAGTAAAATCACAAGGAAGAGAAAAGAATGAAGGAAAGCGACCAGTACGAGAACATCTGTTTTATTTCCCAATCAAGAAGAACACTTTAATTGACATCTTAAATCACACAAATTTGATATTAAAACCCTGAAAAGGCTATACAAAATGGGGGRAAATTTAGATTAAAATTCGAAATATGATTTTTTATCATTTACATTCAGATTTTTCAGTTTTTTTATTCCGTTTTATTTCCAAAAAAAGTACCGAAATTTTGAAGTTGAAAAACAGCATTACCTTTTCTAATTCAAAGACACTATAAAATGAAAATCTCGATACCATGCCAAAAAAATTGTTTAAGGAAAAGAAAATTATTCCATATTTATACAAAAATAGATGTATTGGCTATGACGGCATAAAACGTGTTAATTTAGCCTTGGTTAGGCCTCTATAATACAGTCCAATTTTGAGGTTTATTCCGGCTGAATTAGAGTTATTTRGCATATTATTGTAATCATATGTAAACCTTTTGACACTGACGTATAAATATAACGTATACTAATAAAAGACACTATAATACAAATATGTGCAAATATATATAGATATATATATATATATAAATTCTATTTCATAGGTGATTACCTTTATGTCTAATGACGGAGTTGATTTCTATTTAGGTTGTTTTTCAGGGACCCTGTCTAGCGAATTTGCACGCGCAATTATAAATAGGCTAGTTGGATTCTGTAGAAATCACTCGCAACACGAAAAAGCTTCTAGAAATACATGCCCTATCATTTTGGAGTCGCGCTTTAATTTACAAACTACGTAGCCCTATTTTTTATCATTCGAGCAAATTTAATCATATTGAGCGCGAGTGGCTCATCTATGCAGTTTTAGTAAACCTTCTAACGGTCTATCGCGAATTCTGCGCGATGATTGGCTGAGCTTGCACTTACACTTATGACCAGTGGTTTTCACTTTTCTCTCATGATCTGCTTCGGACTCTGATTCCAACTTTGACTCCATCCATGGTAAATGAAAGTCGGTTTTCATTGTTCCTCAGTCTCCCAAAATAAGCCAGCCAATCAGCACTCTCGAATCATCTTAAATATTCCTAGATATTTATAAACCGTTGCTTGTAACAATCTCGATGCTTTCTTTCCTCACGATATCTCTGCCGTTTCTTGATTTCTCAGAACTGTTTGAAAACGTTGGCGAAACTTTGTTAAATGTGCTACTATAAAAAGCCTGCACGTGAATTATTGCGTTATCATCTCCATCGGCGTCTCTGCATTCAACTCTTTTGGATATAATCGAGCATTGTTTATCTTGCACTAAATCCGAATTAACTAAACTTGTCAAGGTTCCTTTCTTGAAAATGCAAGGTAAGCATTTAAAGTATAAGTTGTTGAATCCTTTCTTAAAGTTTGAGCTACGAATGCCGTAAAGAATCGGGTTGCACATACTGTTTAGATAACCGAGGCACAGTGACGCTACGTGAATGCCTCTTGGTATCGGATAAGGATGATATACATCGAAAAACATCGTAATTGCAAACGGTGCCCAGCAGAAAACGAAACACGATACTACAATCAAAAGCGTGTTTGTAAGCTTTAACTCTTCKTTTGATATGAGCTTAGTTTCTCTTCTTTGAAGGTTTGAGTTTGGCAAATTCCCCGAAGGAGCGAAAAGACGCTTTTTCAACGATCTTGTAAACGAAATGATTCTATAGTAACAGACAATCATGACTGTTAATGGCCCAAAAAAACAAACGATCACCATAAAATACATGTAGAACATATCAGATGGCCAGTGTACAAAGCAATATGATTTTTCCTTAATGAACCGTATCTCGCTCCAGCCAAAAAGAGGTGGTACTGATAAAATAAATGACACAATCCACACGCATATGCCATATCTCAGTGCATTACGAGATTTGAAGTTAGACTTATACGTTTTCCATCTTACTATATAAAAATATCTGTTCAAGGCGATCATTGCCAAGTTGCACACCGAAGAAACAAATGTGAGTAGCGTAATAAACCCAAAGGCTGTACAAGAAGAAGGTCCAAAGACCCATTTTCTTTGCAGCATGCTTACTGCAGTCACAGGCCCACTGACAACTGTTATTACCAAGTCAGCGGTTGCTAAACTCAAAACGTAATAATTTGAAACTGTTCGTAGAGACTTGTTTGTAAAGACGATGATAAATAGCGACGCATTACCAATGATAGCACAGGAGCAAATCAAAACCATTAAGCTACTCTCGATGATTCCCTCGACAGAATAACCCATACTTCGAATACTACCTTGCTCTTTAGATAAGCCTTGCTTGATATTCGATAATACAGTTAATAACAAGCTAAAATCTTCATAGAATTGCCGTTGTTTACCTTTTTTTAAATCAAATCCCCATCAAATTAAATTCTCAGTTTTTACTGCCGGTTTTTGTTAATCTTGGATGTTCTTTTCCTGCCACGGTACATAAAGACGTCATTAAATTCACCAGAAGGTTTTTTTTYCCTCCGATATCAATTTCTCATAAATCCATTGCCAGCAATTCATAAGATTATCAAAGTTTACCAAGAGAGGTTTAAAAAGCAAGTTATTTGCTTACCGTTTGCTTGTTCACCGACAGTTTTCCATTTAATTGACGCCTACTCCTATTCCTTTCTCAGATCAAAGTTATTTTAGATTAAGGAAATGAAGATCATTTGTTCCATTCAATGAAATTTCAATTATTTCCTTCTGCTTGGACTAGTCTCTTTTCAGCTCGTTAGAATAACGGTATTTTGTCGTTAACTTTGAAGTCTTCTTATACTACTCTTTCCATCAACATATTTTTCTGACGATTATATTTTGATTCCTTTCTATGAAACCTCCTTGCTTTTAGCTCTAGTTTTTTCGTGTATCTGGCGAGTACAGTTTAGCGTTTGATTCAAGTGTTATTTGAATTCCTCTCAACGATGAATTCTTTCAAAAAATATTTGTTTCGTGGAATTACCAAACCAAGTATTCCTTCATGCCCTTATACCATATAATTGATCCAGGCTATAAAATACGTAGATCTTGCTGTAATTCTTGGACAGATTTGTTTGCCAGCTGGTTGTGGAAGAAACCGCATTGAAGGAATATGGAAATTTGTGAAAATATCTGCAAGTGAAAACAATGAAAATGATTGTAAAGGTTAGCATGAAAAGAAAGCAATTTTGATTATTTGAGCGTCTCCGTTTAATTTGATTCAAATGAATCTTCGTGCTGAGAATTTTCTTCTACGTATGTGAATAATGGTAGACGGAAGTAATTTATTTGTAGAATAGAGAACCTAATAGAGGGAAGGGAATCAGAAAAAAATAAATTAAGGGCGTAGCCAGGGGGTGACCAAGGGGGCCGGCTTCCCCCTCCCCTTCTCCCCTCCCCCGGTAAATTACAAAAAAAATTGTAAAAATTGGACTTAAAATGTAAAATGTTTTTGTGAAAAGAAAACGTAAAACGTAAGGCCGTTTTTCCTTTAAAATTTTAAACCTCTTAAATTTCTTAAATTATAAACCTCTTATTATTTTGCTCTTATCTTCGTTTATTTAAACTTTCAGTGTGCGTGCAAGAATAAAGCGGAACTTTTATAGTTCTAGGCTATATCCTTAGTGTGTCACTAACAAATATCTATTCAAAGGTGTAGAACGCCTTAACTATTTCGCAGCTTTGCGATATCACCCATTTTTGGCATTGTCTTATGGCGCGACAAAAAAATTGGGCAATACATTTCCGTCAATCAAATAAATTGGTCGGCATCTTTATATTCTCTGATTGGCGGCAGTGTATTGCCCTATATCCCTGTTACGACTGTTGTCTTGATCAACGCGTAGCCGAGCGAAAAGAGTGGTAACTTCACTTTTATTTACGCGGTTTCTCTCTTTTTTTTTTTTTTTTCTTTTGGTCTTCGTTTACTTGTTTTTGCTCTTTTTTCCTTCGTGATTAAGCCTTTTGATTTTCATTTATATGATTCCGTCTAATTTAGCTGCATCCTTTAGACACATTAAACCTTCTTCATTACTAATATCATTAAGATTAAACTGGTTATATTCTTTGTTTTAGCCTCATCTTAGTAATTAGAAGGTTTAATGAGATAAGAGGATACAGCAATATTCAACAGAATCATACAATTATTTCAATAATAGTTAGTCACCTGAAAAGCTATAAAGCTGAGGCAGACCAGGATTATGGGTAGATTCGTTTTACACGTTCAACGGCTCGATAACTGTTCATGGACTTGCCAATCTTTTACCGGTTACAGTCTCACCTCTTCTGAGCATCATCGAGCTGCAGTTTGTATTAAAAAAGCTTTGTATATATAT